AATGCTTAGCAAGCGTAAAACGCTTTTTAACGGAAACTTGTAAGCGCAACGCGCTAATTATTTTTCGCATGGCATGTAAAGGCGTTCCACTAATCCCTCCAATCCGCATGCATCCCGTCCCCATGCGCCCCGCCGCTGAAAACTCGGAAGATGACTAAGGCGGAGCGCATAACATTTCTGTGCGCGCTGCTCTGAACCATTTGCAAAGTTTTGATTATGGCAGGGGGGTCGGGGGGTTGTGAAGACTTTGTGCGCCATGTTATACAACATTTAATTTTGGCTTAGCGGCAAGCGTTTCTTTTAATTTTTACACAACAATTTCTGCCTTGAGAGCCGCGCACAACAAGACAATTGTTGTAAGTTATTGTGAGAGTAGACATATTATTTCTTTTCTTTAACAACGGTTTGCAGTTATAGAAATGTTTTTCAACGTAAAATCACATATATTTGGAATTTTATCAATATATGCATAATTAAATACTCAGATACTTGTTAACATTGAAATACACAGAGGGAATAAGTATTTGATGCTGATCGAGAAACACATAAATCTTTAACCAAGCGGGCATTACACATTTCAAGATACCGTGTATTGTAACCACAGATCCAACAACGATGCATCGGCGTTGGCGATGTTGCCATTTCCAGTTCCGTTTCCGCTCGCACGGAAAGCACTTTAGGCCTATCTACTTCTTGCTACTTGTGTAGACACACAGAGTGCTTTGGCATACGCCACACACACACACACATACATACAACCACACACACACACATCCACACTACAACATTACTGGTGCTGTCGTTGTTGTTGTTCAAGTTGTTACCAGTTCGTTTTGGCTTGGCACTTATTGTGGTTAAGTTTAATGCCGCAATTTTCTTCCGCTTTGCGTGCTGCACGTATTGCCCTATCTAAATTCCCCCTCTGCTTCAGTGGACTCCTCTTCTGGGACATTGTTGTTATTGTTGTTGTTGTTGTGTGCGCTCTCAAGCGCCCTTGCACCTAATTCCATTTTCACTTTCTTTGATGATGCTCAATTTTTTGCATCATTAATCTTAAGCGATTTTCAGCTTTGACGCTGACACACACAGCTACTTAACTAGCTCAATCTTTCTCGCTTCACACTGCTTTGCGTCCCGCCCCCCCTCTCGATCTATGTACATAATTCGCACTCTTCCTTTCGGTTTACACTATGTAGACATAGAAGCATTGTGAGTGGGTATTATGAAAAATGGGCATAGTTGTATAAACGTTATTTATACGCAATATTGAATACTAATATATAGTTTGAAGAATAATTTATTATTTTTTTGTACAGTCTACGCCCTACCACAATCAATTACTTTACACTATTCTCTTCGTGCAAGTCTCTAAGCCTAACACAACATTTAAATAGTAGTAGGAACGAGTTTTAGCATTAGCGTCACTTGAATACTTTGTGCTAATATTTTTTCATAACTGCATATGCATATGTGGATGTTTGGCATGTTGGCATGGTGGCAACCCTAACAATTTTACGCTCGATTTGCCGCTTAGTTTTGTCAGCTTACAGCGCCCTGTCGCTGACTTTTCATAGTTTGCACACAGCAAAACAATTTTCAATTTTTCGAACGGAAAAGAAGCTAAGCTAGCTGTCCGAGCCAAACGGAACTAAAGCAAACAGAACAAAACCAAACCAAAACAAAACAAATGAAAACAAATGAAAACAAAGCAAAACAGAACAAAAACGTTACACAGTGCAAAACGATACGAAACGAAATGAAACGAAACGAAACGAAAAGTAAGCGGAATGAGTCCCCGGCCCGGCTGGGTCGTTGCGCCAGCGTTTTGTAGATTTTAAGAGCAATAAATTTTAAGTGTCAATATATAAAAACCGCATATGTGCGGCCAGCGGCGGCAACGAGTCGAAATTCATAAATTTTGCCATGGGACGGAATGGTAAAATAAATTCCATGCAGTAGCTTTCGCTGTGACTCACACACATGCACGGACAATATATATGCATCGAGTTTTGCTTTATAGTTTTTCACTATGTGTGGGTGTGCGTATCTGTGTGTGTGTGTGTGTGTGTGCATATTTGTTTCCATGTCCATGCCCGTTGCATGTGACCGAAGGGCATTCTGCTATAGCTACAGCTACCCATACAGCTATTGCTAAGCGACCACATAACGCTCTGGAGTCTGTGTGGATTTCATTTTATTGCAAACGTAAAGTGAAACAAGAAAAAATGGCCAACAAATATTATTGTATGGTGACACGCAGATACCCTGTAAGGAGCACCGAACATTTGCATGGAGCTAAGATCAAATTATATCCCATAAGATTAACCTAATAGTTAATTGAGCAAGGTTTTTGTGATTGTTCTAAAACTTTCTATATCTAGAAATACAGAAAAAATATGGTTTGTGTTTGAATGGATAAAATTTGATTGCAAACAAGCTAAAACACGGAGTATAAATGCATTTAGCTAAGACGATACTTTATAGCCATCAAGCTGATCGTTTAAAAAGTTGTGCATTTTATTCTTACGCATTAATTTATACGTGTGTACATGAATATCGATACTTGTCAACTTTTAAGGGCTACTATTACTATTGGGTGTTGCTTATTTACAAGTAATAAACTTGTGGCCTTCCAAGCATTTATTGGTAACAGGATACTGTGAAAACACGAACAGCAGCCAAGTGCTTAAAAAAGAGATAAATAGTAAAACGATATTTTTTGAAATAAAAGAGACGACAACGGCAATAAGAAGAATCAGAACAAAAAGAAGACAACGTCTGCAGTTAACTTTACGGATGAGAACGAACTGAAAGCCACTTGCAGAGCACTGGCACTGGCCAGATGCTCAAATGGCTAGCTAGTGCTAGTGCTAGCTGGCTACAGACAACCGGCAATCAAAGAAGTCCTAGAAGTCCTACTGTCCTACTGTCAAGTATTGGCCAAATATCGTTCGCAAATTCCATATTTTTGTGTGTGCAAAAAGCTACGCGAGCTGCGAGTGGAAAGAAAAAAGCAAAAATAAACGCAATCGACCACTGCATCGACAATCGCCGATTGAATCAAACCGACGCCGTTTTTGAACAAAGTGCTTTATGGAATCTCTTGTCTATTTGAAAGTGGCTACAGCTACAGCTGTCTGTGGGTGGTGACAGCGAGTGTACAGCTGACATTGTTGGTTCCCGCTATTTGAAAGATATTTTCAATTTGAAATTGTTATTAGAGCATTGAAAACCTTTTCGACTAGCCCACTTAAATAAAATCACACTCCATATGTTGCCTAGAAAGGATAGTCGATATCAACTGTTAAGTGCAAAACATAGTCACATTGATTAATTGATAGTCAACTGATTTTTGACTTCAAACTAAATAACCCTATTCGTATATTATTATTATTATTTATCAAAAGTTGTCTTAATAATCACAGCTACTTAGCATATCTGTTACAAACATTAAAAGTATCGAATTTTGCAAGTCAAAAGACACCAACATATTAATATTAAGTGTAAGTTTATCATAAAAACAACACCGAACAGACATTAACAGGATGCAATTTAGTAAAATTTAAGCGACGCATCCTTTAACATATTTAACGACTTTTGCTTAACATTTGAAAACTGTGTGACGCCTTTCCATGCGCTTCTTAAATGCTAGCGCTGTCTTCATTAATATGAATGCCAAGCAACTTGCAAATTTTGTAACATTTCTGTGGATTTGCAAAAACTTTTGCAAATTAAATGGTTTTTGGCTTCGACTCTGGCTTTGGCAGCTGCACAAGCGATGGCCGACAAGAAAATTGGCTCTAATTAAATATAACTTAAAATCTATCAGAAACAAATTAATCACTAAGCGCCGCAAAATGGCGACCGAAAAAAAGAAGAAACAAAAAAACAAGAAAACGGGGCAGGCAAAACGAAAGTCAAGGTTTTTTATTCTTTCATTTGGCTAATCAGCTTATTGAACTTTAGGTCGTTGAAGTGAGGAGAGCGGCAGCGGGAAAGGAAAGGAAAACGTAAAGAAAAATTAAGTTGACGTAAAGTGAAGTTGTCATTGGGATTTAGGTCTTCAAGCAAATACAGCTGCAAACTCGCAATCCCAAATTCAATTTATCGAGCTAAGCGAGCGAAATGTGGCCAAAAGCGAACTAATATGAAAAAGTAGAGAGAGAGAGAGAGAGAGAGAGAGAGATGATGGCGAAAAACTATATTGTTGCAAGCTGCAGCAATGTCGCCGCATTTATTAATTACACAAGGAGTTTATTAACTCCAAACAAAGATGGCGAGAAAATTACGATAAGTGCCTGTAACTCAACCAAGACAGTCATCAGTAATTTCAAACTGATTCAATCAATCTACAAGCGAATAAAACACTTGATGGAAAAAACTATAAAATATGTGTATTAAGCGAAAAGCAAGCTTAGCTTAGAGCTAAGCCGAAAATTGTAAGTCATTTAGTTATTGTTTTTGATATTAGCTCTGTTCAATCGTATTCAATCCAAGAGGTACATATATCCAGTTGCTTCAATTTATTTTAATCATAGCTGAGTGCAATAAGTTGCAAGTTGCTAACCCCTTCAATCAGCGTCAATCGATACAAAATATATTTCAATTAGGTACTGAAATATTTAACAGCACTTACCTGAGACGGTTGCGTGGATAGCAAGTCGACGGGTTGCTCCGGTATTGCTTGTGCTGCTGTCGGCAACACTAGTTGCTGCTGTTGTTGCTGGAACTGCTGTTGATAGTGCTGCTGCTGTTGGTATTCATATTGCTGTTGCATTTGATATTGCAATTGCTGGTATTTTAGTTGCTGCTGCTGCTGTTGCTGCTGTTGCTGCTGTTGTTGTTGTTGCTGCTGCCCGTGCACCAACAGCACCAGCTTAAATTGAGAGCAACAGCAAAAGGCGATTGCCAAGAATTGAACTATGTTAGCAAGTCGGCATGTTCTGGTTGTCCTTTCTCTTGTTTTTGTTGTTAGTGTAGTGGCTGCTGTTGCTGTGGCTTTTGCTGTTGCTGTTGCTGTTGCTGTTGCCGACAACAACGACATGTTGCCGCCGTAGATGTAAGTTTTTTCTAACTGTCAAACTATGCAACAATTTGGCTAGATCGAAGTTGCTGTCTCTTTCTGATGAGGATGTTGTTGCCTTTTGTGTCTCTTTTATTATTCTTGCCCGCTTCGCTTCAGTTGCTAGCGAGATGCAACTTTTCTCGCAAATTGTCTGACACTGCAAATAAAAAAGTCTTAAAAACAGTAGCAAAAGTCACTTCAAGTTGAATTTGCAACTAAAGTTGTTGTCACTTGCAACCGGATTGCAAAAAAATTATATATAAAATATACAAACATATATTGCTTGTAAATAAAAGTCTTCTTTTTTTTTTTGATAATTTGACATTGACAGAAAAGAGTTGCGAAAAGAATCAATTACATTATCAAGGTAAAAGCGCGTTAGCATATATAAGGGCTGTGGTCTCTGCCAGAGGATGTATAAAGAATATAATATAATATTATAGTAATTTGAGTTGTTTTTTTGTTTTTTAACTTGTGTAGGGTATACTAATTTTGTCGAGAGTCTTTTAACAAAACTATGTATATTTACTCTAGCCGAGTCGATATAGTCGACATTAGTGACCGATTGTCCGTCTATCATATTTTTATTGGTTTTTAAGAGCAAAGCTCCATCAGTTTTAAATGTATCTTAATGAAACATAATATGCACAGGTATTTTTGCTTCGGTCACTGGTATGTAATGTCGCAGCCGACTACGTCGAATCACTGTATCATATATTTGCAATAGGACCAATCGGTTGAAAGACTTTCTCTTGTATTAAAAAACATTGTTTTCACAAAGAATGCGTGTTATTATCTTCCACACATTTGGCCAACTAATCATCATCATCGGACCATTATATCAAATAGCTTCCATTGGAAAAATCGATATATAAGTTCTGAAGTTAACCTGCCACTCTTTCGAATACAATTGAATATTATAATATAGAATATTCAGTTCCCAGCCAAACTTGAAACAGGACGCATATACATAAAATTTATTTAAATCGTTCAAGAACACGATATGACCAAAATTTACATGTCTGCAGATTCAATCCGTTCAACGAGGATATATAGTTGATAAGATAGTTGCTCTGTCTGATTAGTATTTTAATATAAATAAGGACAAAATTAAGAAAATATGACCTGCATGGTCTTTAGTTTTGACTAAAGTAGCAGCTCGAGTGAAACCACACACATAGGTAATCAAAAGACCAGCGAACGTATTACAAATATTTGTGAATGAAGATGATCTGTTTGCTGCTTTCCATGCTTTCCATAAATTTGCTGAACCTTCTGCATTCCCCACTCCCAAAACCCACCCCAAAGCAGCATATGCTGCACGCACTTAAGAGATTTTTTTAATGATGGTGCAATAACTGCTCGAGTCCTGAACAATTCGTGAATTTCAATGTTTTATTTGCGGAATTATAGCGCAATTAAAGCGGTAATTCAGAAGACGCACCAATGCCAGCAATTAAGATCAAACGGGGAGAGAAGCGTAAAGCGAAACCCAAGTAATGGAAAATCGTTGTGAAAAATAATGAGCAACAGTTGAAAGATTTTCCCCCGCAAATATGAGAAGAAAATCTTCAAAACAAAAAAGTGCATATGCATGCGTATTTAGTTGTTTATAATTTTAATAAATAGATGCACAAGAAAATAAGCAACAAAAGAAAAATCAGGAATAGCATTTTCACTTGCCATCAAAAGCAGTCGGTAAAAATCAATTTCACTTTTCAATTAAATGCGACGAGGAAAAGCCAAAGCCAAAACGAAGACAAGAGCAAAAGCAAAATCCAAAAACAACAAAATTTCAAAAAACAAAACTGACCAAAGATGATAAATTCCATGATGATGCTCGTAATGATGATAATAATGACACGATGCTTGCTTTTTTGTTGCTAATGTGCACCTAACAGCAATGAGAGCAAGCTGTTGCGGGGAGTCGGGCCAAGTTGGTAGGAACTGTTTTCGGGGTGTGGTGCACAGCAGCAGCGAAATGAAAATAATGCAATAAAAACGTCAGCAAAAATTGCGCTTTTGATGTTGCTGTGCGGCACAGACGCTAACGCAGCGAGTCACTGGAACGTGCAACACGCGGCGCAAGTGCGATGGTCGAGGCACCGGGGCCATAGGAAGGGGGTTCCAAGTTTCGTTGCGGCAGTGCGCTGCAATTATAAAAGCTGCCAGCAACAAAATATAAAAAATTGTTTGCAATTACAGCGCATCCAAAGCGCAATACAACAGCAACAAAATCACAACATTTTACTTGCGATCATTTCAATGCACCTCTTCGCGCTGTGGAACGGTGTAAGGCAGAGGCGAAGTGCCCGTGTCGAGAGTAAGCGACTGGGTGATACCCTCTATTTAATATGTAAATTTAGGAAATAGATGAATGAACTAAAAAATATATATCATAACATTGCAGCAGGAGAGTGCGAAGTTCTGGCAAGCTTTTCACAGAAGCAGCCAGCAAAACAACTGACTGCATAAATATTTGTAAGAACTTGCTTCGGATAAAAAGAGACAGGACAGACAGGACATGCCAGGGTGCACAAGCACATACACAAGCTAAAAATAGTGGAAGATACTGCCTTGAAGATGACGAGACTTCAGAATACATTCTGAATAATTGCCCGGGCAATAAGATGACTCTCTAAAAGACTCTCTCAGCAAGAGACTTGCACCCTTAATACCAGTGAGAAGAGGAATCTAAGACCAAGACAATCATTGCATTTCTGCGCATGGTTGGGCTTAAGCAAGAACTTTAACACATTTACAAAAGAGTGGCACAGCAATAATAATAAAATTAAAAGTAATAGACAATTTTAGCAGTATTTATTTTCAATCATATTTTGATTGCCATGAAAGTCTTTACTGACACTGAAAGTCTTTATTGCCCTTATGGTCTCTGGATTAATATTGCATTTGAGTTGAGAACCCCAAATTTTGGTCCAAATTAGAAAGTAATTTCTAGCTAAGTAAAGTCATCAATGCCCATTTCATTAAGAAAGAGGCTTAAAAGCAAAAGGTTAAAATAAATTCACCAGCAATGCAGTGCACACACATACATATGCACATATAGCCATTTCTACAATTGAGTAAAAATCACAAAATTAAATACCCTTCCTATAATGCATTGAGAGATCATATGTGACAACATCATCATGACATGTTCAAAATATAGAATATGTCACTTTGATTTTAATCAATTTTCAAAATAATATAATTGTTATTTAAGAAAATTCAATCACATACGTCTAAAGAGGGCGTTTAAAGCTGTGTAAAAATTTGCAGCAGAATTGCTGGCAAATATTTTGCAATTTTTGAACTGTGCTAAGGATTCGCGGGCTGACGTTGCTGCAGCTCTTGGTTGATGGCAATGATAGCGTGAATGATACTTTGTATAAACAGCCACACATACACACCCACTCATACACATACACATAATCTCACACATCGGTTTTGGGATCGTTTGCATAAGTGGGGAGCTTGTTTCCGGCAAGCGCTGCGTATACACAATATGCAATACAAATACAGAACAAAAAATGGAAAAATGAAAAAACAAAACGAATCTCAAACCCATATATGTATGTGTATGTACATATGTACGTGAAGGCTGTAAAGTTTATGGGCACTCAATGGCCTTTCAGCGTTCAACGGCGCGGCCGAGGTTGGTGTGGGGGGTGGGGCGACAAGTGAGAGGTAAAAAGTGTGAGAATCAGCATCAGGAATCTGGACATCAGCCATGAGGTATACGGTATACGTTATGTAAAGTATGAGATATATAAACATAGTCCAGAGGCAGAGGTATCAGAATACATTGGCAATCAGCGCATTTCATTGCATTCATATGGGACTCATAATGTAAGCCTCGCATGGCCATAAATTTGTTGAGCTCAGACTCAACTCTGTGAAACTAAGTGACAGCTCAGAGCGAGAGAGAGAGAGAGAGAGAGAGAGAGAGAGAGTTTAAATTAAAAGTTTAAATGGGCAAAGAATCAGAGAATAAAGAGAACATTTTGCTTATGGATTGCCTTTTAAATTAATTGAATTTAATAACTTGCATACTAAGAATTTAAGAAATGTGTGGACGTGCTCCAAGAATGGAAAACAATTCGCTATTTCATCACAAAACAAGAATTTAAATTTTAATTAAAATTCCTTTCTCATTTCTGATTGTAAAATATTATGTACATATTATTATAGCTGATTACCATATTAAAGTTTGGCTCGGCTTCACTCTAAAATACTTTGCGGAATCAACCACAATTTCCATTCCAATTTTTCGTTACCCCATCCACTTTTTTACTAGCGTACTTTGATTTTGTATTTGATTCTCAAACTTCCTGGCAGCACTTTATGGCCAAGCTCATAAAATTGATAAACAATAACGAGATATCAGAGTCCGAGTGGCATCCGGTTACATTTATAACCCTACCGCTCGCAGGACTTGTAAGAGAATTACGTATACGTAATACACATATATATATATACATATAAAATGTACATCGGTCCATATGTATATGTGGAAATGTCGCTTTATAATGCATTTTAACGGCTCATTGGACCCGACTGGCAAAACAACTTCACATTTTATGTCCAGGCCAATCATTTTAGTTTCATATGTATATTTATTTATATATACATATATATACCATCTGTACATATCGCTTCCACCTGCAACTTGCGGCCACAAAAATGAGCGAAAAATTGTAAAATTTATGATAAAAACGTGCGACGCTGATAAGAACGCCAGTTGTGGTCTGGTATGGTGTGGGAATTTCATGGAATGGGAATGGGGCTGCGCATAAAAACTTGAGAGGAAGCAGGAGCAAGTGCACGGCTTGGTCAGACGTCGAGTGGTGAGGCAGGCGGAGGGTGGAGGCGTAGGTGTGTGGGCGCTGCATCTTGTTGCTCGTTAGGCTAATAGCGAGCACTTGAGGCACTCTTAAAGGCTAGCGAGCTGGAGCATGCAGATTTACGGCGTTGATAGAGTCCCGAAATTGCATTGCACGGCAAAACGTGGTGATGGGCTCACAAAGAAAACAAGTAAAGTCCTATAGTGTCTTATAGACGTACAAATGATCGCCTTTGGGATTCCCTTCCTAACTATATATGCACATATCTTTTATATATTTACAAATTTATTTAGGTATGGTAAAAAGAGAGCAT